AAAATCAATTAAAAGTAATACTAAATATTATCTTTTCAATATCAAAAACAGAACTATCAATAAAATGAAAATTTACTAATGTTTATCTTTCTTCAGTTTATTCATGTTATCTAGTAAAATAAATTAAGTACTTGGATTGTATACGTGAAATTATTAGTATTATAAATTAAGGAATATTGGATTGTATATCCTAAATATTATTAAAAATTTTAAAATACTATTTTTCTTTGCTTGAGATGACATTTTTATCTTCAGTTAAAGAAAAAAAATTTAAAAAACGATTTGATCTTTAAAACTAATAAATTATCTATTAATTTTAATATTATAAAGAAAAAATCTAATATTTTTTTTTTATAAACCTCTTCACGCCTAAATATAAAAAAACATTAAATCCTTCTCGAAATATTTTTTATATTAATTTAAATAAAATTACTAATTGATATTTTATTATAAAATAAAATTACGAATTGATTTTAATTAATTTTATAATTTGAAATTTAATTAATTTATATAATAATATGTCAATTCGATGAATATTAAAATAAAGTCAATTATCTAAACAAGTCGACGAAGTAAAAAGTCAACCAACCAAAATATAAATCGATAGTTTAAAATAAATCGATGACCAAAAAAATTTAAGTCGACGAATTAAAAAAAAAGTCAGTGGTTTAAATAAAAAAAATTTAAGTCGACGAATTAAAAAAAAAAGTAAATGGTTTAAAATAAATCGATAACTTAAAATGTCAATCAAAAGAAAAATAAGTCAACAGTTTAAAATAAATCGACGAAACTAAAAAATTAAGTTGACGAAGATAAAAAAATAAGTCAATGGTTAAATAAGACGATAAAGTAAAAAATCAAGCAAACTATAATATATGTCAACATTTTAAAATAAGTCAAAAAATTAAAAATTAAGTCGACGAATATAAAAAAAATAAGTCAATGGTTAAACAAGTCGACAGAGTAAAAAAAAATCAAGCAAACGAAATATAAGTCAACAGTTTAAAATAAGTCGACGAAGCTGCATATTAAGTCGACGAACATAAGAAAATAAATCAATAGGAAAAATAAATAAAGTAAAAAATCAACCAAAGAAAATATAAATCGACAGTGTAAAATAAGTCAATCTTTATTTTTTAATTTAATAAAAAATTTAGCTTTTAAAAATGATTTAGTAACAAAATATTTTTAAAAATAAAAAGTAAATATGAAATTAAATGGGAGGTTTAGTTTAATAATCCAAAAAATTTATGTAATTTGGAAACTGACCTAGGTTTTCAAATTTTTGCAAACTAACCTTTTTAATGTAATAAGACAATAGTTCTTTCACAAAATTTTAGAATTTATAATTACAAAAATTATATTTTGAAACAAATTGCATAAACGGTTGACCACTACTATTCCAAATGACCTTCAAACTAGCACAAATTATATAACTCTTGTTGTCGTTTCAAGTGGTTGCAAAGATTAAAATCTAGTAGAAACGAAAAAATGACTTTTAGTCGAGCTTGTAAAATTTATATTAGAGCAATCTATAACAGTGTTGATACAAGGTTTTCCATCGACAAGCATTACATAAATTGTCCGTAGAAAATATCTGATGTATTTGCCAGAATCACCATTCACTCATGTCTTTTCTGATTTTCTTAAGTTCCACCATCACTTTAACTCTATGTTTGTTAATGTTTCACATTTTCAAACGTTTTTTTAATTATTTTTGGGGATTGAAAGATGCAATTTCCTCTCTCTCAGTATGTAAATAACACGAGATTATTGCTTATCCTAGAACATAAAACAAATCATTTATATTATGCAAAATAAAAAAATGAAGGTAGGCCCAAAAAATTGTTAGTTTTATTTTTCTATAATCAACTATTCATAAGAGACTAAATCAAATGAATTAAACATTTTATTCTTGGACAGGAGCCAAAACTTTTACTGGGTTGACCATTTTTAATCTTTTCTTATGTGTAATTTTTTATGATTTTATATTTTATGTGTAATTTATATATTTTTTTCTTTTAATTTATCACATGAAAAGCTATATTTCTTTTTTTTTGTAAATTATTGTATAATAGAAATAAATGTCCAATAATAATACAACTTGATTTAAAAAACGCTTTATATATTTGATTTGTTTAAATTATTTTGATAATCTATGTTGTAAAAATAGAAGTTATTTTTCAAATTTTTTAAAACATGGGTTAGTTTTCAAAATACACAAAATTTATGTAATATTTCTACAAATTTCCTC